AATCGCTTCTCTCTACGTTTTTCACGGCCGAGTAAGGTGTGGACAAATCGCATGGCAACTGAAAGACTGGCAGATCCGGATGTTAGACGAACTTACCAGAATCATCTTCTAGAGTCTCTTCCAAAGGCTCCACCACCAGATGCGAACTCATACTGGGACGAGATTGCCACCTCGTTGCATAGTGCTGGGAACTTTGCCTATGGTATGGCACCACCAGGCGCACTCAAGCACCGGATGTCAGACCGAACGGTGGCACTGGTTAAATCTCGGAGAAATATCCCAGCCGGTCCCGAACATAACCGGGTTCGACGAATTATCAGACATCAAGTGAAAGTGAGCTTGCGATCCGACCGTGAAGTATGCTGGGCACAGAAAGTCAAAGAAGTGGAAGAGGCCCAGAAAGCAGGTAATGCCCGGAGATTATTTCATTGATCCGTGCTACCGGTCTTTGGAAACCATCTGTGAGCGCAACCATCAAGGATCGGAATGGATTGACAATCTCGAATAAAAAAGAACGCCTCGACCGGTGGGCTGAATACTTCGAACAATATCTGTCGTGGGCAACAGCTGGCACTCATCTGGAGCCCACAGGCGAAGTAGAACCCTGGACGGTGAACGTGGAACCACCTTCGGCCTCGGAGGTTTACGACTGCATGTGTTCTCTCAAGCGCCAGCAAGCCTCTGGTCCGGATTACCTCCCACCCGCATTGTTCAAAGATTGAGGTGGAGTCCTCACCTAGCGCTTGTTTGATCTGTTTGCTTACATTTGGGAAAGGAGTCTGTCCCAGCCAACTGCAAAGAGTCGGCGATAGTGCCCATTTTCAAAAATGGGGCTCGTAGTGAGCGTGCCAACCACAGGGGGATTAGCTTGACCGCGGTCGTAACAAGACTTTTGGCGTCACTTGTGCTTCGTCGCCTTACGATAGCTCGGGAAACATTGACTCGAGAGCAGCAAGCGGGATTCTGGCCTGATAGGGGTTGTGTTGACCAATTCTTCATTTCGTCAGGTGCTAGAACAACGCCATACATATAAGTGACCCACAATTATAGTATCCCTGGATTTCCAAGGCGCATTCGACTCAGTTGATCGGTCTGTTCTTATTGACACGCTTGTCCACCAAGCAATGCCCCGGACGTTCGTCAACATATTAAACTCTGCGTCCCCAGACTTCCGAACGCGTGAGAGTATACGGAGAGCTCTCCAACAGCTTCCGTACAAAAAGGGGTGCCCGTCAAGGGTGCCAACTCTCTCCATTGTTATTTAACTTCGTGATCTATGGGATGATGAGGCGAACGCTGGAAGGTCTCCAAAATCCCGGCGTTCGAATAACCTCTGACGAAAACCTTGTCGATCTGGAGTATGCAGACGACATCGTTCTCATCTTCGAAATGGGGAAGAAGGCGTAAGTATTCTTGGATGAACTGACCAGAGTCATCCCGTCATTTGGTATGCACTTTGCACCTACGAAGTTTAAGGTCATGCTCGTGGACGTGCAGTCACTGAACACGACACTTACAATCCAGGGAGAGGCACTGGAAGTTGTGGAGATTTTTACGTATCTTGAAAGTTGTATTAGTTCTGATTGTAGTGCGACAGATGAGGTCAGTGCACGAGTCTGCAAGGCTCGGGTTCGTTTGCTATGGCGTCAGAGTGATGTAACTTTGAATTTCAAGGGACGTGTGTATCAAGCTACAGTGCGGGCTGTTTTCTTGTATGACTGAGACTTGGTCTGTTCCAGCAGTGGAACTGAGACGTCTTCAGGTGTTCGACAATCGTTGTCTCAGAATCATAGCTCGTGTGGGTTGGTGTCAGCGAATCCGCAACTAGGCAATTAGAAAGCGAGTTTTTGGTTGTGCAACGGGGACTCCCATTGAGAAATGTATGCAGGACCATAAGCTGCGTTGGTTGGGACGTGTGTTGCGCATGCCTAACCACCGTTTGTCGAAGAGAGTGCTGTTTTCCATGCCCAACTCGGAGTGGCGTAAACAGAGAGGTGGCCAACCCTTGACCTGGCAGAGGGATATGGAAGAAATCACGACACGTTTGAGTTCTGTCGGTGCTACTCGCCTTCCAGCATGGGGACCGCGTGATCCTCACTGCGCCTGGTTGGAGACGCTTCAAGATATGGCTGCCAACCGATGTCAATGGTGATCTTGTTGTCAGTTTCTATCCAGATTGCCTGAATGAGTGTTTGGAGGTATAGGCACCTCGGAATGATTGTAGTAAGCTAACACTAAGTCCCTTCCCTGTCCACCTTTATTCTTTTGTTCACAATAGGGCTTTCAAATAAATCATGGTTGTACGGCATAAGCATCGGTGTTGATCACTGGTGTCATGCTGTCAATGATGATGATGAAGAAGAAGAAGTTACCGTGCCTTTTGAAATACCATACTGGGCGGAGCAAGAGGCCAAGGACCGACACGGTTACACCGTTCAACAGGACGCAAAAACCAGGTCTCTTCCTTATCCACTCTTGTCTTTTTTCACTTTAAAGCTCAACCAGATATATTGTTTTGTTCTATGGTGGTTAACCCTTAATCTCAACACCGATGTGATTTTTTGATAGTCAGTATGATGATGCAAGTTTGTCTGACACCACTGTCCTTCTCAGGATTAGATTTTCGCATTGAATGACAATTGAAGACCTGGCTATCGACACTTGAGAGTGGCGTTGAACTGCTTGGTCTGAAGATGATCTACGGGATCAAACAGGGAATGGATAGTGGATGATGTCGTGCTCGGTCCTTGCTGCCGATCATCATCATTGATTGCAACGCAAGCTGAGAACTCTAGTATGTCAATACCGTCAATACGGCCTTGGGCTGAAAAGATGAAAATTGGGACAGGATGAGTGATCAAGGGCTGACCTACCACAATTATTCCAATGTACCTGCACGTCCAGATACTCATTGAGGCAATCTAGATAAAAACTGACAACAGGAACATCGATTAGCAGCCATATCTTGCATGGTCCGCAACCAGGCACATTGGGAGCCACGTATTCACGGCAACGGAGCATCGGTGTGGAATACTGATGTCATGCTATCGGTGATGAGTCCTCACTCCGGAAGGCGTACAATACTATCTGCGTCCAAAGTCTGTCATTTCAGATTCCATCCACCTCTAAGTTTATGCCACTCCAAGTTAGGCACGGAAAACAACACTCCCGACTATATGTGTTTACTCAGCATACGTAAGCTGACCAAGCCACCTTAGCTTGCAATCCTGGATGCATTCCGTGAATGAAGTACCGCCTGCTTCACGGAACACTCATTTTCTGATCACTTAATTCCGAATTCACTGATTCTGGTCGATTCCAGATATAGTTCGGAGAAGTTATTGGTCAGAAACCTGAAGATGTTTCAGATCTTCCACTCGAAGTGTCAAACTCTAGCACACTGAAATCTAATGTACGCGTCTTTTGAGTCCCATAGATATGCCCTTTTGATACCATATATAGCGCAGTGTAGCAAAGCAGTACCTTCGAGATTCGCGCGTTCACTTCGCACTATCATCAGAGCTAATGTAACTTGCATTCCATACCTTCCAGTGCCACTCCCTATACTTCTTGCTGGTGAATGGGGAGCAGTGATTCGGGATATTCGTGGAACCTCCTCATTCCCCTCAAGAAGAACTTCGCCTTAAAATTAGTGGAAAGTCGGTGGTGACCTTTTCTGATCCGTTCTTCCTTTGAATGCAGCGCCGCTAATCTCACAAGCATATTTATACTGGTCGCATAAGGGAAATTTTTTTACACCTTCACACTCTCATCACAGAAGTTGATGAGGCTACCTTGAGACTGCCTCTTAGTACGCCTTTCCTTAGTACAGTGGCTCACTGCTGTTCGTCTAACTGCTCTCTTTTGGTCTTCCTTGCACTCTTATGAACGGAGTTCCAACCAATGTAGCCCTCTGGATTATTGCAGCACTCAAGCCTGACCACCTCGGCAAGGTGACTGTTCTTTATCTTGATACGAGGAACTTGATTTCTGGGTACGTGAGGTTTTCAATGGCCGATCGTGTAGTGCGCGTTCTGCGCAAGTCTGTGAAGTCCACTGGAAGCAACAGCAGATAAGTGTGTATTCAGAGTTCCAACAGGTAAATCAGATGTGACAGGCAGTGAATGATTTGCACCACCGGTAACTAATGGTAATTTGGTCTAGTTGGGTTGGGACCAGTTGGTTGGTGGGCATCGCGTGATCAAACGATATCCCCTCTATCGGAAATTGGTACTTCAAATGAACTGGCACACCAGCAGCAGGTGCTGTCCGTTGTCCGTGCCTCGTATCAAACCCAAGAGGACCACCCAATTCAGTCTCTGGAACCTACTTAAATGCGCGTTCATGAAATCAATTGAGCTCTTAGTCTGTTGTGGAAGAACACCTAGAACATCATAGCTACTGTAACTAAAGAGGGAACTGTACAAAAAACTGCGCGGACAACTGATGCTTTACGGTTAGCCAGGCCGGAAAAGTTTTCATTTGAGTTACCTTATCTTGAGACTTTTTCGGAGATCCTGTCTCTAGCCTCTGACTCAATATCCCGGTCTGCTGGGTTTCAAGGGGCTGACCCGATAACGTAAGGACCAAGGCATAGAATTCTTGCTCTTGATGCTGCTGATAACATTTACGTTTTGGATCCACATTGGCTTTTTGTAGGTTTTGCTTGTATGGGATAATTCGCAGGCCGTCACGCTAACTTTTGGGGGATCGGACTATGCGAGCTTTAGGCTGACTGACCTATTCTAACTCATCCTTCGGAAAAGGCGGCGTCTCATCCAGGTAACTGCTATGGTTAGGCCATGTATTGCGCATGCCGAAGAGAGTGCCTAATTCAGAGTGACAGAAGCAAAGAGATGGCCAACCTTTGACCTGGCGGAGAGTGTGAAGGAGACCACACAAAGTATAGGTGTTGTCGGTGCGCCTCGCCTTCCAGGATGGAGACCACGTAATCCCCGCTGCGCCTGATTGGAGACGCTGCAAGATATGGCTGCTAATCTATGTCAGTGGCGCTCGTGTTGTCAGTTTCTATCCAGATCGCTCGAATGAATGTGGGATGCGTAGGCTTGTGGTTGAAACTCTCTCACGGGTCTCTGTATTCCCTGTGCAAGAATTCACCAATTCTGTGCATACGTTAGTCAAAATCATGTAATTTACTCAGTTTTTGTATGGTAGCAGTTAGCAATTTTGTGGAATGTAGGTAGCTCGGGTGCGCTGTTTGTTCTGTTTGTTGTTGAGACCCACTCAACCCTGCACTGACGATGTCACCTCGATTGGCGATGAAACGTTTGCAATCCAACTGCCAAGTATGGTAGCAGTGTTTGCTAGCACCATAGTTTCTCACTTTCCTTTCAGATGTTCTAGTCCACTACTGAGTGTTTTCGAGATGCAGCTTACTCGTTTGTGCTTAGGACGTTTTATCCCGTGGAAATGCACGCCAGGTGCTACTTGGGGTGGGAAACAACGCAAAATCCCCCGACTCACTCACGCACGCAAATCTGCCTTCCTTGGTCACATGTTGCTTTCGGAACAGAATCATCGTTTTTTGCAAAATCCTTGCATGACTGCCGAGGTAGAAGCTGCCACATTAGAAGACGAACGAGTGAGTTATGGTGAACGGCTGTTGTGTTCTATGTATTTTTACCTTCTTTTCTGGATCCACTTGTAACAGAGGATAAGAGAGAAGTTCTCGAAACTAGACGTTCCACACAGTATCTGTTAACCGCAAATTCGGTTGATCTGTCAAAATTCAGCGCACGGTATTAATGGGCCACCTGACCGGTGTTTGAGCGATGAAGTATCTGTGCTTTCCGAGCCAATGTTATAAGGGCCAACTCCTGTGACCCACTAGGCCACTCCCGTCAGTTTTCTTAAATGACACTGAAATGAGACTCGTTCTGCACCCTTCGATGGTGCTAAGCCAGATGTTTGCGCGAATTATTACTAGCCCGTTCGGCAAACCAAAATCACCGAGCATTAGAACAAACAGTGCTTCACCTCGTGTGCGCACGTCTGTTTACTGTCTCACCAGCGAACTCCCAGAATCGTCCCCTTAGTCAAAGACGTTCAGTTTTTGGAGATCTCCTTTCCTGTCCGTCAGCTGCACACTCATTTGACCTGCCTGCGGTTTTTACGGAATCCGGCGTGGTTGTGTCCATAACTCATCTGTCAGCTGTCCTCCAGGCGGTCAATCAGCTTACTTTTTGGGCATTAGGTGACTAAAACAATGTCTCTCTTTCGATCACCTTGTCATCGTCAGTAGCTCAAAACACTGAAAAAATTGTTTTGCCACCGCAAGACCATAATTTTCAATTGTAAAAAGAAGAAAAGCGAAAAAGAACTTCAATCAATTGGAAAATGTTTGGGACCGATTGGGCAGTGATCGTTTCAGAGAGGTTTGATAAACAATCGGTGGATGTATTGCTGGGCAACGTTTGGCTTTTGACACCAAAGCTTCTTAAGGTGAAGTGAGTAAGTAAGTAGGTTGATTGGGTTTTGAGGCAGTCAGGGAACCAATCGGTGAGATTTCTTGCGACTAACCGACTTGGTCAGTTCTGGGTGTTCTGTCTGATGTTCCAGTTTGTTGGTCAGTGGGGATGACTAACATATACGATAGATTGGTTAGGGGGAGGAGCTATCTTCATGTTGAACCCGGATTTTTCGGCCTTGTTTTTTCAGTCTTGGACACCTTTTTGGAATATTCCTCTTGGGATCATTCAAAGATTTCGTTCACCCGTGTTCATTAAAGGATGCCGGGAAAATTGGTTTGGCGATGGGGGGTGGTTAATCGGACATCCTGGTTTGAGATTCACACCACAGCGACTAGTGGCTGAGGCGGTGGAAATCGCCAACATCCCGGCGTAAATAGACTAGATGGGCTAGAACTTGCAAACGTGTGGAGAGCGGTTTTAGATCAGCAGAGATGGCATGAGGCGGTGTGCAGTTATCAGCGAGATCGTCTGGGTCTAAAATTACAAAATCCAAGTAGGGTAAGATCCAGTTATCCACCCCAACTCCATCCCCGAACAAATCGTTTTGGCACCCTACGACAAACACAGGTGAACGAAATCTGTGAACGAATCCAAGAGGAATATTCCATTAAGGTGTCCTAGGTTGAAAAAGCAAGGCCGAAAAATCCGGGTTCAACATGGAGACAACTCCTCCCCCCTAACCGATCTATTGTAAATGTTAGTCATCCCCACTAACCAACAAACAGGAAATTCAGACTGAACTCCCAGCGCTGATCAAGTCGGTTAGTCGCAAGAAATCTCACGGATTGGTTCCCTGACTGTCCTAAAACCCAGTCGACCTGCTTACTTACTTACTTGAACTGACGAAGCCTTGGTGTCAAAAGCGAAACATTGTCCAGCAATAAATTCACCGACTGTTTACCAAATCCCCCTGAAAGAGTAAAAGGACTTGTTTTTTCACGAGAGACTCAACTGAATCTCTCGTTTATGATATTCTACAACTGAAAGTGCTGCACACAGGCGGCTCATGTTTTAGTTGGCACGATATTTCTATTCGATATTCTTGATTGTAACGTGATAACCAAATTGATTTGCAACTGACTGTATTTCTCGACAACAGTCCAATTTGGGTTCAAGTAGATCATAAGGTTGACGGAATCTCGGGGACTGCGCCTACCTGATGAGCCCCAAGAAGGGCGAAACCGGTTGTGTGCTGTCGAAGAGTTTTCAGCAACCTTGTGAGTAGTTTCCTTTATGAAATAGGATTTGTTACTTTCCCCGTACAGACACCCTAATATGCGTATAGCGCCAAAACTCGTTTACACGATCTAGCCAAGAACTGAGACAAGAACGCCAAGGATGTTATTTGACAGTCCTACGCCCCGAACGTTATTGGGAAAGTCATGTGGAAGCCTGTGTTTAGATTTCGTAGTCACATTCACGCCGTTTTATATCATCCCAAACTCACCATGGAAAACAACACCTTTCGATAGTCTATGATCTGGTGAGTTCATGGGCCCTGGAGTTGCATCCACGTTTTTCTACCACATTTGTTCTACCCTGTTGAAACACAGTAAGGGAACGGAATTCGCTCAGGCCGGCACCTGAGAAGAGGCTATTGGCTACGAGGGCATTACTCTCAGATGAGCCGTAAAACACACGGAACCTCTTCGAGGATTTTTTTAGCTCTCATTTTACAACAAGTGTGCCGAAAATACGCAATTCACCGCAAGTATCACCCAGTTAACAACGAAAAAACAATTGCCACAGTTTTCCTCGGGTTTATTCAAACGCGCAAGTCTACGCGATAAGTCCAGGTACATGTAGCCTAAACAAGATGACAAAACAAAATGGTTTTGAACTCGAAGCGATGCCCTCCCGATTACCAGACCGTTACTGTACCTTTGTATGTCAAGACAATTTCGAGGCGGGCTCATTGTGGAGTTCAAACAATGGGCCCAGTTATGACACCAGCAGACGTCACGTGTTATTCCACTGCATAGATGTGTTTCTAATCGGCTGTGAAGTGCACGGACGTGATATGAACACTGCCGACGATTCCCAATAAGGGTGAAATGATTCTCGGCCTTTCAGTGTATATCGGCTTCTTCACTTATAGGGTGAAACAGTTATTGAAAGTCCCCAAGTCTTTGCACATTATCATCTGTCGAGTCGGTTTAATGGTATTCGAAAGAAATAACTCACCCTCGATAAATGAGCTGATCACACCGCATAAGTTGCACAGGCTTGTTCACGTGCTGCGTATGCCAGTCGACCGACTTCCTTCAAGGGTTCTTTTCGCACAACCACGTGAGGAGTGGAAAATGAGCCAGAGGCGGCTAAACAGTGACTTGGCAGCGAAGTATAAAGCCATTACCAGCAAACTCAGCTGGGCTGGTCATTGCCGTCTTCCTGGACTCAGAGACAGGCCACATCAATGGTTGGAGACATTGTCAGACATGACCCAGTCGTACCCTCACTGGCGCTGATGCATCCAAGCTATTGCCTCCAATGCATAGCTCCCTTCCCAGTTCTCCCACGTGACAGTCCACTGACAGTGCTGATTTACGCACGAACCTGTCAGCTCGCCTCCAATGCACAGCTACCTAGCCCACCTCCCCGAATCATCGGTGAACAAAACTGTGGCAACTACAACCACTGTACGATAAGCACGCGGTTCTTACAGGTGACAGTGATGATAAATGAATGAACTCAAACATTTAATCATCATTTTATGACTGCTAGGTGGTGGCAAACTTGTCTAGCATGACTGACAGGGTCGCAGTTCATGACAGTCGAATAGCTTTGCATTCGTTCAGCTGTGGCACCCTTTCAGTGCCTAACTGCCATGCCACCCGAAGGTTGCACGAGGGCTGGGATACTGCCAGGTTGCCCAAGGGGAAGTCGAGAGCCAGAGGTCGGGTTCAAACCACGGACCTTCCGGTCAGTAGATTCGCGTTCTAACCACTTGGGCCATCTCGCCCAAGTTGACACGAGGCCTGCCGCAGCATCCCTGTTCGAGGAGGATGCCAGTGATGCCCGGTGCGCACCTGTGCTATTTCACTTGGAGCTGCCATTTTTATCGTTTAATAGAAACGGTTTTCCCCTGTCCTTCACAAGGACAATATGGAAAACTCGGTATTCCCTTCCTTTTTAAAGATTGGCAATCGACCGCTTAGTCGTGCACAAACCACAACGATGATAATTGAATTGCGTTTCGGTTTCCATGTTATCAATCCCTCGCCTGGAATGCGGGATTGTCTGTTATTGGTTTCCATGGTAGCCCTACCTTTCTTTCAGGGTAACATCGTGTAATCGTGGTCTCGCTGCCTTATTAACTCGTTTTACTGAATCTCGAGTTTTAGTGAAGGTCTCCAGTAGATCCTTATAGTTCGGGATGGCCGCTCAACATTTTGGCTTCTCCAAGGCATACCCGCCTCCAGGAGGTTAGAGAATTTATATTCTACCAAGTTGTATAAACTATAAATCTGACTATAAATCTGAACTTGTCTCGCCCAAGTCACTACATTTTATTAGACGGTCATCTACACTGTTGTACTTTTCCGATTTGTTTCGATTCCCGTAGCGTCGTGAACTGGAGCGTGAAGATCAGGTGTTCTACGATCGATATGCCACGCAATTTCACAATCGATTTGTCAGTCGAAGAATTGAGGAGACCTGGAAGCGGGTACTACGCCGTCAACGATTCGACATTTGATAAGAACTGCAACTGTGTGGAAAGTAGTCCGCAAATTTTCGGACTCGCTTTTTTGCCAATTCATTGATTGTATTAGTACGACTGTATTTCTTCTGGCTGAATTTCAAACGAATTGAATTATTTGAGATAATGTCCAGCCGCTAGTTTAGAACCAGACGTTACTCACTGTAAACAAAATTCAGTCCAGCCGCTAGTTTAGAACCAGACGTTATTCACTGTAAAAAAAATTCATTCCGCTGTAACACCCTGTCGGTGCCTAGCTGTCATGACACCCGAAGGAAGCACGAAGGCTTGGATACTGCCAGGGTGCCCAAGCCTAGACAGGGGAAGTCGAGAGGCAGAGGTAGGGTTCGAACCCCGAACCTTTCGGTCAGTAGATGCGCGCTCTAACCACAGTGCGCCTCACTTACCATCCATTTTACAGAATGTCCATAGCTTTGAAATCATTAGATACATGAAATCGCTTCAAATTCCATACCATGTAGGGAGCTTTCATGTGGACGAACGAAACTTGGTCATTCGCTCTACATATGTACCGCACTGATATGGGTGGATAGGCACGCAGACAGTTTAGTTTCAATCGGATATGATGTACGTGTACGGTACAGCTTTATTCATTGTTCGTATGAGGAGAGTAGGAAATTCCGATCGGGGGTTCGTTCTTTAGGTGAAATTGATCTGCGTTGAAAGTACTGGTTTAAATTCTGTTTTTAGTCAGGCGTAGACTGATGAAAAGCATACATTTTAGGAGAGTTTACATTCTAGTCGAAACCGGGTCGGGTAGGCAGGAATCGCTGCTGTACCCCAAAATTCTGCTTCGCAATGGGTTACTACAACTCAGCAGTCATCAACCATGAACTGATAGACTGTTTAGAGTTCGTTTACTTGGAGGTGTTTTGAAATCAATAGATGACTACCAATTGATGAGCATACGGCGTCCACGAACCAATAGTACCCCGCTACATCAAGGACGTATCAAGGTATTTCGGTCGCTCATAAACCGAGTGCCAGCGTAAGAATACTGATTTCAAACGAAACCAGGCACGGCAACCAAAACAGCGTTGTCTACCCGACAAAGTGCATTGAAGCACCACGTCGGACAAACCGGAAGGAAACTATCTACACGGTTCAACGAACATGAGACGGGTTTAAAAATACATTGATCATCTTTTTTGACTTCGCACAAGATGTGGCCGGCATTCGGGTTTTACCGCATGGAGATACCAACGTTCAGCTGTAGCACTCTTTCGGTGCCTAGCTGCCGTGCCACACGAAGGAGGCACAAGGGCTGGGATACTGCCAGTTCGCCCAAGCCTAGACAGGGCAAGTCGAGAGGCAAAGGCCGGATTCGAACCACGGACCTTCCGGTCGGTAAATTCGCGCTTTGGTCCAACTCGCCCAAACCCACAGGTGAGCTTCAGGAAACGATAGTTTACGGTCAACTCAGTCAGTCCACACGTTGAACTGGACTCAATCCAGGTACCCTACGAAGAGGAGGCGATGAACTGGATCAAGTGACGTAAACTCGGCCGAGCATCAAACGGCAACCAACCGTGGGACGAGTCCGGCAAAGGTCATCAGGTACGAATCGGCGGTCAAGTCGAAAGATCGCCTGAAAGTTGGCCAATCAGGACACTGAAGTGATGAACCAGTCAATAAGATGACTCACCGGAGTAACCAGTCGTGGTCGAACATTGCGTCCTTCCGGAATCGCGCACTATTCAACGCACAACCACATACGAACGGTGCCACCGCGCTTCACAACAACGCGTTATTGATGCCACCTCGATCGGTAACGAGACATTCGCAAAAATGAATGGTTCGAACAAAAAGTTCGGACGAATTGCAACCGAGTCTCTCGCCAACATGAACTCAGTTTACAATTGAATGCGTTCTCACTTTGCTTGAGTTCTGTAAATATTGAACTATGTTGTCGTCAACTGGGGGATAGTAAAATTCCACCTACGTAGAGCTCATTTTATGCTCCGGTTGAGAACTCTAGGCAGGAGGTTCCTCGGATCGGGGCTACAGCCCATGAATAAGAGAAGCCGCATCAAGGTGTGGTTTAGTCCCCCCCCCTTTGGTGGATTACTCAGTTAGAGTCGATGATAGGTGGTTTTCTCAATTCCACGAAGTTCCCGCTTCGCTGCCTGAACAGAAGTTCAGAACAGGTAGTGTTAGGTGATCGTGAGTACTTTTAAAGTACTTGACAAAATCGTACCTCAAAAAGTTCACGAAATTTGTGACCCTATAGTTCACTGCTAAAACATACGCGATTTCGTCATTGTTGGTTTTACGAAATTCGAAAAGTACACTGGTTTACACACCAATTTGCTTTCCACGGGAATCTCACCCGGTTCATGTAGAACATAAGTTTTTTTGACGGGAACTCGGGGACTGTGCTGAGCCTGAAGAAGAATGGCGAAACGGGTCGTGAGTTGTCGAAGATCTTTCAGCTACCTATCGAATAGTTTATGAGAACTGGTCTATGTTCGGAAGAAGAACACTGTGACCTCACTCTCAGCGTACAGAAATATCTACTCTGCTTAGTGAAGAAGTGTATCAAAATGCAGCACCAAAACACCTGGCGTGAACCGAGAGGTAAATAACGATTTATCTTCGAGTAATACACTTATTTGCAAGTGAATTTGGTTTTCACGAGAGACTCAACTGAATCCCTCGTTTCTGATATCCTACAACTGAATGTGCTACACACAGGCCGCTTCATGGTTGATTTGCAATTGAGTGTATTTCTCGAAAACAGTGCAATTTGGGTTCAAGTAGATCATAAGTTTGACGGAAACTCGGGGACCGCGCCAACCTGATAAACACCAAGAAGGGCGAAACCGGTCGTGTGCTGTCGAAGAGTTTTCAGCAACCTTGAGGAGTAGTTTCCTCTATGATAACGATTCACCTTGTTTAAATGCGAGTTAATCACACTACTAACCATTTCCTTATTGTCCAATGGTACCAAAATGTTTTCGTGTTGACCCCCAAGGCTTTGCTTTTCAACAAGGACGGGATGGTCAATTTTTAAGCATGGATTGAATTCAGTCGCAAAAAGCAGTGACCTAACACCAAATACTTTACGGAAAATCGCTGTAGAAATGGGATTTTTGTACTATAAAAAGCCCCAAGTGGCAATCCTGAGCTTGTCTGTAGTGGAAAACAAAGGGAGCTAAATACATGCGGGGTCTGATTAAGGTCTAAGTTATGATGGGTGTCACCGGTCCTGAATCACTCAGACTTGTCTGGCAATTGCCTGTTGCGTTGCTTATGTGTCACGTATTTCCGCTAGACTTCTGGTTCCTGTTGAGGGAAACTTTTACATTAGATTCCACTCGTCACACTGAGATAGTTAACGAATACACGTTGAGGGGTTGATAAGGTACGCTCATAGGCATTTAAAACATCGCGACCCGATTCCTTGCTGGAGCTTAACCTACACAAACACGTTCAGATGCAACACCCTTTCGGTGCCTAGCTGCCATGCCACCCGAAGGAAGCACGACCGCTGGCATACTGCCAGGTTGCCCAAGCCTAGACAGACGAAGTCGAGAAGCAGAGGTCAGGTTTGGTTAGCAAACATGCGCCCTAACCACTGAGTCATCTCGTTCTAATGAGTAGTGAGACCTTTGTGCTCTCTAGATATGAGCTCTCTTCGAGGCTACTTCGTCTTGGTGATGGTTTATTTCTTGTGGGCCTTCTCTTCATAGCCATAGCAAAAATAAATTCGCTGAATTACTTGCTAGACTGGTGGAAATGTTTGTCAAACAACGTCTAACGCTCTCCTGACTCTGTACTGAGCGGTGTTACGTTTTATAAGGCTGTGGGCCCTACTGCCTATCCATCATACTCCACACCCTTGATTCACGCTGTGATGCTTAGTAATTCCCACCGCCTCGGCTATCAGCCGCTGTGGTGTGAATCGCAGTCCCCGTCTTAAAACTTCCACAGTCTATAGATCTATTCTATGTCCTGTGTCTAAGGCATGTACCACCATCGCTGAGGCTTTGACCACTTGACCTGACGAAGCTTTTGTGTCAAAAGCGAAACATTGCCCAGCAATAAATCTCCCGACTGTCACCAAACTTTTTCGGAAACGATGACTACCCAATGGGTTCCAAGTATTTTTCATATGTTTTGTTTTCTTTGTTGCCCTTTGCTGCCATATAGGCCAAAAACACAAAAATGAAGTTATTACCAGGAAGTTCCCAGGGTTTATGAAGGATAGATGAAGTCAGCGAAGGGCAAACCCATTTTCAGGGGAATTTCGGTGCTTTAATTTGTAGCCGAATCATCTGTGATCTCCGTGGAAGAAACAATCCTGTGGGGTTTTGGGAAAAAAGTGGCGGCGTCGGTTGTGGGGAAGGTTGAACTTCTGCGAACTTGGATGACACAGAACACCCATAAAGTATCACCTATGATACGGCCCGACACATGGAATGCTAGTGAGTCTAGTAACCGTCTAGCTATAAAAGCCTTTCTGTGCCTGACTGCCGTGCCAACTGAAGGTAGCAAGAGGGCTGAGGTACCGGTTAGACAGAAGAAGTCGAGCTTGGGTCCGAACCGTGGATGTTCCAGTCAATAAGTTCGCACCTGAACCACTGTGTTATCTCGAGCTCAGAAGTTTTCATGTTCTAGGACTGAGATTAGGCACGAAGAGACTGGACCTTACCGTGGTGTGACGGTTTGCGCACCTCAGCGAACAACCGAGCTATAATGGGGAGTGTCCCCGTGACCCTCACAGAGCCTCTCACACCAGGTTGGTCAGTGGTTAGATGTCTGACGAACACAGTCTCCTGGCCCTCCAAGTTGGGGATTGGAACATATGGCGACTTGTTCCGTAGAAATGGTAATGCATTTGCATTTCCCGCCAAACACCGCTGCCTTGCGGTTAGGCTTTTGAGCCAAAGGCTTTGGTTGAGGACCCTGTCTATGTGTGGGCGCTCTGGCAGTATCCCAAACATCGTACAACCATGACATACACGACTAACATATGGCAGTGAAGCATCGGTGTTGAACACTGATGTCATGCTGTCGGTGATGATGATGATGAGTTGTTGAAGAGAAAATTTATCACCGATTCATTCTCACACAGATTTATTCACCAGCTACCCAGCTGTGAAACCCTTCCGGTGCATAGCTGCTATGCCACCCGAAGGAAGCATAAGGGGCGAAATACTGCTAGGTTCCGCAAGCCTGGACAGGAGCAGTCGAGATGCAGAGTCTGGGTTGGAACCACGGACTTTCTGCTCAGTAATTTCCTGCCTGAGCTATGTCGAGCCCAATCAAGATGCTTGGGAACATTTCATGTAATTTCGCACCGAGGGTCGGCTACGCTAACCTTAGGATTTGAGAACGTACACCTTCGTTGTCAAAACCATTTTGAAACCAACTGGGAGGTACTCGTGTATCGCGCACTTCTTGGACGGACCTGCGGAGGATGTCCTGAGTTGATGGAAGCCATAAAGATCATTACTTTGACCCACTAGACCACTGTTGTGCACGGTTCACTACCAGACTCACCTTACTGTACGGGTGAAATCCACAGACTTCGATAAATCTGTTGAGTTGATGCTACCTGAACCCTCATTTCTATTTTTTGGACAAATTATACATTCACATTCCAGGTTGGTCGCGAAGTTGATTTT